AGGCTTCTTCTAGTGATTTGATGTTTTTTTCTAATTTCTGAATATTTTTGTTTTCTTTTTTCTTTTTATGTGTAACATTATCTACAGCTACTCTTTCTCCAATTGATCTTCCTGAGTTAACTTCAGTAATTACTTCCTCCAAACCATTAACGTGTCTTTTAGACCCCATTCCTACAAAGAAGTTCTGCCATTAATGAATGCTTCAATCTTAAATAGGATCAACCAATCTCTAATAATCAGCTATGTACCACAGCCTTCAAGGTGGCAGCAGTAAAACCACTGCCTAAAAAGCCATGTTTTGACCCAGTGGTCATAGCTAATTATAGGCCAATCTCCAACTTTCCTTTCATGTCAAAAATTCAGAATCTGATTATTTTTTCAAGTAACGAGTAAAGTAAGGGATTACTTTTGAAAAAAAGTAATTAGATACTGTTAATTTCCCATAAGCACGCTGCAATGATGCGTTACTAAACTGTGATTTTGTTTCTGAGAATGTCTCATGATAATGAAGTACGAGTGTGCGACATCCGTGGTAGCAACAGACATGTGTGTAGATCAACAATGCATAATAGGGAGCGTGGGGGGGAGTACGACCATGCAGCGTTTAAAGCTTTAGAGTACCAAAAAGTGATAAAAAAAAAACAAAAAAACATTGGTGTCCGCTGTACACTCTGCGTGGGAAGAAAACTTCTTTCTACAGTGAAAAATTTCCAACACATCATAGAAAAAATACAGACTAAAAGTGGTGTCAAGCACACAGTTTAGCCGCCCTCCACAGTACAGATGTTCATCGCACACAATAAATCTGATTTCAACAGTTGGCAAACATCTAAATTCCCGTGCAGACAAAAAGGCTGTATATAGGAGTAGCATTGCAAAATGCTCTGCTCTTTGGCCTAAAGCATGTCAATCAACATTAGCCTCTGAACAGGTGGAGGAAGTCAGCTGCAGGAAGCTAACGGTACCCACATCCAAAAGGTGGAATTCCCTTTTGGGGCCATTGCCAGAATCATCACAATTCCCTTGAATTAACTTAATCCCCTGTGTCTAAAAATGAGAATTAAGTGCCTTAACGAAAGGAAGTACAAATTCTTGAAAGAGTACTGCACTGTGATGAAGTCCCTGACAGTAGCTCTGGACATCTTACAAGTGGATGAGTGACCTATGGAGCTTTACTACCAATACTCACAAGCATAATGTCAAAGACACTTGCCCTGAAAGATGACCCTCTCTAGAATAACCAGATGTCATTGTAAAGGTAAGGTTGCTTTGAGTGGATTTGTTGAATTTATTAGACCATTCATGGTGGGCGGATGTTACACTTTGTTTTAAGCTGTGTGTGCAATTATAAGACAGAATAAACTAAATATCCACCCCTTGTTAACTATCAGGGATATTGATCATCATTAATCATGAATATTAATCATAATATCAACAGAAGCCTCAACAAAATTTAAATCTCATACAGTATTGAGAGCACAAAAGATGGTTTAGGGCAGTAAAACCTACAAAATAATTACAACAGCTAATTATATAGTAAATTATTGTTATTCTTAGTTGCATCATATTGTATGTTACAGGCAATCAAGACTTGTTTTGATGCTGTTCTGGATAGCTAAGAAGGACTTTTCGCAGCCGCCACTTGTCCCAAGTTTAAACTTCCTTGACTGAGAGATGAGTGTTGGAGAGAGCATGTGAAGGAAGAAGGAAAGATGAAGGAACTTCTCACAGCAGAGTGTCATAAAGTTGCTCCTGCAACTGACAATGTTTATGTGTCCCAACGGCCAGCCAGCCCAGCCGAAATTGACTTGTTTGAATTTGAGAACCAGCCCTCAGTGTATGAGCTTGAGATTCTGAATCTGTTCCCAAATCTCAAAAAGATGTACATGCAATACAACACTCCAACTCCATCCAGTGCACCAGTGAAATGGCTGTTGAGTTTAGGTGGATTGGTGCTTTTCTTCGAAAGGTACAGACTATCTGATAGAAGGTTTGAGAAGCTTCTGCAGATGCGATATAATCACTGTGATATAATCACCAAAAGACAAAAGAAAACAATAAAGCATAGGTAATTTTCTGGGTAGCCACAAAATGAGACTGTATCAACAGCCTAAATGTAGCATGCAATAGCATTTTCTGTTTTGTTAATTTGGTAAAGTTTGGGGCAGCACGGTGGTTAGCACTGTTGCTGCCCAGCAAGAAGGTCCTGAGTTCAATTCTTTCTGTGTGGAGTTTGCATGTTCTCCCCGTGTTTGCATGGGTTCTCCTCAGGTACTCAGGCTTCCTCCCGCCGTCCAAAGACATGCAGTTTGTGGGGATAGGTTAATTGATTAATCTAAATTGCCCATAGGTGTGAATGGTTGTCTGTCTCTGTGTGTTAGCCCTGCAACGGACTGGAGACTTGTCCAAGGTGTACCCTGCCTCTCGCCCTATGACGGCTGGGATAGGCTCCAGCGCCCCCCGCGACTCTGAAAAGGATAAGCGGAAGCGAATGGATGGATGGCTGGATGGATTTCAGTGTTATTTGTAAACTGTTAATGAACAATCAAGAATACAGAGCACTTTAAAGCCTTGTTTATTTGAAGTATTAAAATTACAGAAACATTTGATTACAGTTATAGCCCACATGTGACACCTGGATGATTAAGAGAAATTGTATATGAAGTCCCCTAGATCATTTCACAATATTTTTCCTGACACATGCGCTGCATACATATAGGTGTTTTGTATAATTGGGAGAAATTGTGTCAAACTGGATTAGTATGACAAATATGTGAATCTTATCACTGGTTGAGAAACTCTGATAGATGTCTCAATTTGGACAAGGCTGGTAGTGTGAGTATTTCCTCATGAAAGGCCTGTGGCCTTAAGAAAAAAGTGTTTACATTTATTCAAATTACATAAAGGTCATATAACTGCCATGTAACTTCACCCAGACATATGTTTCAAGTTCAATAATATTCACATTTGTCTTATCCCTCATTAAATGCACCATATCCCTTTCTGTTCACAAATGACATCATTATCTGTCCATTTTCTAGCTACCTGCCTATGTAACTCTATTTTATTTTCTATCCTCTATTTGCCTGCCTCTCTGTCCCAATAGTTTGGGAAGATCCTTTATTCTATCATGTCTGCCAAGATGCTGTCATCTTCTTCAACGTCCACTTTGATCTTCTTGCCCACGAGCTGCTGCATATGTTCTGGAGGGATACCCTTTGGCTCACCAACCTTCACTGCAAACATGTCCAGGCTCAGCACTGTTCCTTTAGGGATTTTCACCTTAGCAATGACTGACTTGCCCAACTGGAGTAGAAAAAGAATAGAAATACATAAAAGATGTATTTTAATCCAGCTCATGTACGTTTTGCAAATTTGCACAGTTATGGATGTTCAGTGAACTGAAGAGGGTGGAAGTAAACACAGTTAACAAGGACTGGTTTGATAGTGTTATGACATGATAGAATTTCAAAACTCAAGTCAAATGACTCAAACTGACCTTATCATGGCAGGTCTTCTCGCATGGTAACATTTGCTTGACTGGTGACCCCATTGCTGTTTCCACCAGTCGTATTGCTCGGACCAGTTCTGCCAGCTCGGAGGGCTCCAGGGATGCCTCATGGTCATTTCCCTTCCAGGTCTTATCCAGGGTCACATGGCGTTCCACAACTTTTGCTCCCATCGCCACGGCAGCCACAGTGATGAAGATCCCTTTCTCATGACCAGAATATCCAATTGGAACATCTGGAAATTCCTCCTGGTATTTCTTTAAAAAAAAAAAAAAAGGAAAAAGAAAAAAAAACCTATAGTATTACACAGACTAAGTCTGAGCATATTAAAGTCAGATGTCTTGTATTGCCCAACACGATCACGGGTTTTCATTGACAGGTGTCTTTGCTCCAGAATCAGCACCTACTTTGTGATTGTGTTATATGATACTGTAAAATCATATATCATTTAGGGGCTGGATTTGAAAGTAATTGTTCAGCTAGCTGTTGTGTACTATGAAACTGCTATGGTTTATAATAATGTGCCATGAAATGCCCGGTGCACTGGTCATTTGTATCCTCTGTATACTACGGCAATGAAGCTTTCATTCGTGATATATGTTAATAATTATGTTCTAAGCATCTGTGAAAAACATTAATGTAGTTTGTCAACATCATCTGTCAACAGTGTTGGGGAGTAATGGAATATATGTACCGGTGTTACATATTTAAAATACAAAATACGAGTAACTGTATTCAGTTACAGTTGCTATTTAAAAAGGTGATATTCAGAATACAGTTACTTTGTTGAAATTAATTGATTACACAGTGGTCTTATACAATCATATGTGAGAAACAATATGATTGTATGTGAGAAACAATGCAAAAATATTTTCAATTACATTTCATATTGTTTCTGCCTCTTTTGGGAACGTCCATCATGATCCTGAAAGGATGTTTTTCACTGTCTAACAGTCTAACTAAAAAATAAAGTTGAACAATTATGTACCTGTAAGTGTTAACACTGGTTACTAATTGGATCTGTGTGATGTTCTACAAGGGAGTCACGTCTGATACATCCCAGTAATTATAAAATCTGAAGTGGAAAATCAATCCTAAAATGGCAGTGGAAACTAAAGTGTCAAGTTCATAGGGTGGGTATCTTTTTAACATGTAAACTAAATTAGACAAAACAAAGGCAGAACACACAGTCAGAATGAATTAGTGTATTAAAAAAATGTAAAAAAAAAAAAGTGGGGAATAGGGGCATATTGATTTTTTCACCATAGTTGACCCAGAGGAGATGATGATGATGTTCAGTCGTCTTACCCTGATCACACTGAGGTTGACCTCTTTAGGATCCAGAGGGTAGGCGCTGGTGCACTGCAGGAGAGTAAATTTCTGGTTGTGCTCCTTTACTGTCTTGTAGACACGGCGTATGGTTTCCATGGACTGCATCCCAGTGGATACCACCATTGGTCGCCCTGAAATTGATAGAGTTGATATATACGTAACTGAACAGACTGAAAAAATGGGATAATAATAATAATAATGGATTGCATTTATATAGTGCTTTTCGGGACCCTCAAAGCGCTTTACAATTCCACTACTCATTCACTCTCACATTCACACACTGGCAAAGGCAAGCTACAGTTGTAGCCACAGTGTTTTGTGTTGTTTCACTTTAAATTTGTTTAAAAGGAAAAAGCTGAAAATTTAAATAGTTAAAAGTTGAAATGTGAATAGTTGGTTTTTGTATTATATGATTTATTTGTTACATTTTATGTGGAGTGAATAAATAAAGGTATATTTACGATGGCCCCTAGAGACAAAGCACATACAAACTTCAAAACACTTAAAAACTCCAAAACAAGTACAAAAGAAAACAGAAGTGTTCCCGAATGCTAGGCACAGTTTTGAGCTTTTGTTACCTATGGCTACACAAGCCAGGAAATACCAATGACCGGATTTGGTGTGTGGTAATAACAGGTAAATGAACGTTTTGGTTTTTTTTTATTATTTGAATATATATGAGTGCTTGTGTATAAATACACAAACAATACACATATGCTTTCAATTGTGTAATTTAAGTGATCTAGGTAGCTCTGTTTTGGAAGTTCAGTTAAAGCTAGAAATGTGTTTTGGAGTTTGTACATGCTTTGTCTCTAGGGGCCACCGCATATATTTATATAAACAAACATATATAAATAAAACCACTGCTTTTTACATTAGTAATTCCTTTTGTGCATAATTTTATATTATTGTTAAAAAAAAACACACACACACTCATAAAACATATTAAGGATTGTACATTGACATAAAACTGTTGTCGGAACCATACTGAATTTCACCAGAGAAACACACACATACATGAAGAGAGAGAGTATGCATAGTATGCAAACGGCTACCAAATGACCATCATAATTAGTCATACAATGAGAACAGGACAAATCAACAACTGACAATGACTAAGTAATATTAAAATCTGTAACATAATGTATTGTTTGGAGTTTAGTCTGTTACTGTTACTATTTTTAC